GATAAGGTCCGAAGCAAGCATTCCTCGTGTGGCGCAGTCCGCCGGATTCTCCTTTGTGTTTACATGATGCCATGCGTTGCGCGGTAAGGCTTCGAGAATTTCTGAGGTTCTGTTGGCTACAAATGTTTTAAGCTTAGATGGTGGATGTGAAAGCCAGGCCAAGACTATGGTTGAGTCGCACCATGCATGCACTTCAATGTCCTTGTGTTGTAGCGCAGCCTTGACTGATAAGAACAGTCGGCTCAGTAGCAAAGCGCCACACAGTTCGAGACGTGGTAGAGACTGCTGCTTCAGCGGAGCAACTCTGGTTTTTCCTGCAATGAGTGAAACTGATACGGTGCCATCTGCTCGCACCACTCTGCTATAGATGACTGCGGAATATGCCTTGATGGATGCATCTGAAAATCCATGCAGTTCGATGTGATCTTCATTGTTTTGACAAACCGTGGCAGGCGTATCTCGAAGGATGTGTAGGTCGTTACGGCATTTATTCCACCAGTCCGCAATTTTTGGAGGAAGCTCCGTGTCCCAGCCGAGATCGAGTAGCCACAATTCTTGGAACAGAATTTTGAACTGCACTACCACTGGCGACAGAATACCCAGCGGGTCAAAATGCGTGCCACATCTGACACACTTGGCGTTTGGTGTTGTGCGGATTTGTTGTGAGGCAAACTTTGTAGGATAACATATCCTCTTCTGGATCCCAATGAATGCCAAGAACTTTTGCTGTAGAATTGGATCCTTTGCCTTGTACTTCGGTTGAAGCGAGAGATCTGTCAGCGACAAGTGATGAATTGGAAACCCATTTACCAAGTTCCATGCCTGCACATTTCATCAACTGGATCAACTCATTTTGATTGCGAATGAGCTCCTCCTCGGTATGTGCTCCGGTCAGTACGTCGTCCACATAAAACTGCTCCTTCAAGATCCTTGCAGCTGCAGGAAAGTCGTGTTGATGGTCGTGGGCTAACTGATCCAGGACCCTCACTGCTAAAAATGGTGCGCAGGATGTGCCGTATGTTACCGTGGACAGTTCATAGTGTTTAATAGGAGTCGTTTCATCTTCTCTCCAAACAATTCGCTGATAGCCACAATGGTTGGCAGCCACCCAGATTTGTCGATACATTTTGACAATATCTGCTGAGAAGACGAACTTGAACATTCTGAAACGCATGCAAATCGAGAAAAGGTTTCGTAGAATGCTGGGTCCAAGTGCAGAGCTTCGTTTAAGGACCGTCCATTCGTGTCCTTGAATGAGCCGTCAAATACGACGCGTAATTTTTGGGTAATTACAGGATGATGTGGCAAGTAAAAGCTCGGCTTTTTGTCAATGTCTTCTGGCGATAGTTCTCGCATGTGGCCCAACTCAAGATACTCACGCATAAATTGTACGTACTGTGAATGCAGATTGGGGTCTTTCTTTAGGCGGCGCTCTACACCCCTGAATCTTGTTAGCGCTCCCTGTAAAGTACCGAAAACTGTTCCATGGAGGTTTTGAACGGAAGTTCGACGATGTAACGCCCCTTAGAGTCCCGAGTGTGCGTCTTCACAAAGTGCTGCTCAACTTCATCGTCCTCCGGTTTCCCATGGAATTCCTGGTTGACATCCTCCAGCTCCCAAAAGCGTCTTAGCGATTCGTCAATGTCAATAGCCGTGTGCATTGTTGTTGTAGATGAACATCCGGTAGTAACGATAGATGTGATGACCCATCCAAATATGGTCGAAATGGCGATGATGTTGCCCTGGTTGTCGAACATCTTTTGACCGGTGAATACGGTCCAAACGTAGTCGCTGCCCAGGAGTATATCAACTGGCGCCAACGATTGATAGTCAGAATCCGCAAGCTCAAAGCCAGCGAATGCCTTGAGTGCTGAGGCGGCGATATCGTGTCTTGCCAACGTGGAGGTAATTTTGCTGAGTACGTGAGCACGTACCTTCATTGTGTGATCAGAGATCCTTGACTGCAAGTCCAGTGTGCTGCAGCCTCTAGTTGTCTCAGCCTTGATTGATGAGATTCCGGTCACCAAGATTCGTGACGGTGAGCGTGCCAGTCCGAGCGCCTGTACGCACCGCTCGGAGATGTACGACAGTTCCGAACCACTGTCCAAAAGCACCCGGCAGGTAGTGTGCGATCCTGTTGCGTTTCTTACAAACACTAGAGCTGTTGGCAATGCACTTTTCGTAGCCCTTTTGGCTGTGTTGCGGTTGTTGTCCGTGCACAAGGATTCAGCTGTGGAAGCCAGTGCCTGTGCGATATGGCTGGATGGTGACGGTAGCATCTTCAGGAGCGCTTGGGATGTCTTTCATCATCTCGTGATGTGTCGCAGCGACAGCGGCTTGCGAACCAAAATGTCTGCATGTAGCAGAGATGTGACGATGTGGCAAAACTTGCATGTGAATTGGATTCACACTTTCGCGACACATGCCCAGGCTTAAGGCAGTTAAAACACAGTGATTTTGCCTTAACAAATGTGCGTCTCTGCTCGATTGACAATTCACCAAACTTTGAGCAGGCGTAGATCTTGTGCTCCTTCGAGTTACACTTCACACAAGTGTTTGCCTCCATCGATACTAAAGCGTGTGACGATCGCTTTGCCTTGCCATGTTTGTGGGCCAACCTTGGAGTCTATGTCTGGCTCACTTTTGCTGAGCTCGAATTCCTCGCAACGTCGGTCTAAAAACTTGAGTAGATCATCCACAGACGGAGATTCCAGTTCCCGGCTTCCTTCGATCCATTTGCGACGGGTTTCAGCATCGATCTTGGCTAGGATGAAGTGTATAATCCAGCAGTCCCTATTAGTTTGCCCTGCTGCATCCAGTCCGCGTACAATTTCGGTGGCTCCGTCCGTCACCTTGCGCAGAACCGTTACATCTGCTCTGGCGGTCGAAGGTAAGTTAACAAATGTCTCCAGCAGAGTGTTAACAATGTGACGTGGTCTATTGTACCGATCAATTAGGCAAGTCCAAGCAGCCTCGTAAGCTGCATCCGTTATTGGCATATGTCGAATCAAGTCAGCTGCTTCGCCAGTGATGTACGTTTTCAAGTAGTGCAACTTTTGTATTGCTGTCAAATGCTGCTTGCTATGGATCGTACTCTCGAAGATGTTTTTAAAGGCTGGCCACTCCTTGTAGTCGCCAGTGAATAGCTTGATATGGATTTTTGGCAGTTCATTATGCATTACATTTGCTGCCGAGTTTGCCCTTAAAAGCGTTGCTTGTTGCTCAGCCAAACGCTCGTTGAGCTGTTGTTGTTGTTCCAGAAAACGAACTAGGTTTTCGTTTCCCACTCCTGATGCCGTTGATGCGGCCTCATCAGGGTTGCCAGATTGTCTGAAGTTATTGCCTTCTCTTTCATTCTCTTGCGATTCTTCACAGGTGCGTATGAGGTTGCGAAATAATGTGCTTGCTTGTAAGTACTTGTCCTCGTACCTTTCGTTGTCGATGGCTGGATCGACGTACCCTTCCTCTTCGTCAAAAAGGACCAGTTGGTCGCTGATGGACTCGAATTCTTTCCAGACGATGTTGAGCCTTTCCAATGAAACATGTATTTCATTAAGCTCCCATTTTGATCCCGCACGTGGATCTTGAGACGCCGTTAGCAAACGCGTAATGCTTGCCTTCGCACGGCTTCTAGCTGCCTTCAAAAGTTTAAACTGATCCATGTTAATCAGTAACTAAATTTGGCTAGAAGGACCAAAGATATGGTGCAGAATAAAAACGTTTTATTTCCCAATTTGAGTGGACTGTATTTCAATGATTAAATTTGTCACATTTTCTTGTGTGTCCGATGCCTTCCGTTGTAGTCTTAACACTAAGTCCTAAAAAATCTCTAAAGTGTGACGCAGCACCAAAATACATTAAAAAGGGCAAAAGTTAGTATTTCATATACCAAAGAGAATAAGATTCAAAATTAAATAACGGCTGCAATGCGTTCATCAACAAAAATAAAATATTAAGTAAGATAAAATTATTTTAGGAACAGAAAATATAGGCGTAGGTAGAACCGAACGAAAGAAAGAAAAATATAATCATGTACGGGTTCGGTTTTAGGAATTATTAGTTAAAAAAAATAGGTGGTTGACTAAAACATGTGAATGCTCTGTATTTACTTAACCCTTTGCGAACCACAGTCGCTATTCTTTTACAGTCACCGCTCGGGAGATCGATCTTTCGTCGTGGAGAATACACCAAGTGAGTTAATACAAAATTGTATATTTTTGGTTAATTTATACTCGGCATTCGAATCCAATGTTTAATAAAAAAATGGTCAAACAAAAGTAAAAGAGAACATGCACACCCTTAAAAGCTGATTAAATTGGAGATTTATATGAACAACAGTAGTCCTAAAGCCGAACGCATCTCCTTTGTAGAAGTACTGTAAAAATATAAATAAATAAATAATAATAATTTTAATAATAATAGAGAAGAAAAAAAAATAAAATAAAATTAAGCTGTGAATACACTGAGGAAAAAAACAGGAACAACAGTTAGAACCAAACAATAGAAGATATTTCCTTTGTAGAGTAGAAACTTATCTATGGAATCAACAATGAAATTTCTCTACATTTTATATATATTAAGACCCCTTATTAAAACTTAAGATTACCTCATACTATCCGCACCCAATAATTATATCTGTTTATGGAGAACGAACTATTGGTATTTTTTTTAGGGTAATTAGATATCGATAGTATACATAGCCCCTTCTTATTCCCTTCGGCTATTGACATTTGCAATTGTATTCCACTTATGTCTTTTCCCAATGGGGAAAAGGGAGTAACCCGCCCTGGCAACATAGGCCTGAAATTTAATTTGGATTATTAAAATGAATTTAAACGAAACCATGGAGTAATTATTTAATAATTTCTTGATTAATAATAATAGGCAAGTAGCAGATCTGGATTAGGAAGACCTCCACCCCCCAAAGCCGACAAGCTAGAGCCGGATACTATAGCGTGCCCCGCGAGGACAGATCTGTGTAAAATACTGTGCTACATAAGGTTGCACGTTACAATATGATCATATCCACGGTTTTACACCACGCTGCGGCATCGGCCCAGGCACATCAGGATTAAACAAAGGCAATGTCACCGAAATATTTTGCGAGGCTGCAGCCGATGTTGTTCGCACATTATTCAGCAACCTAAGGAAGTTTGGGTTTTGTGTCTCTAAAATCGCCTGCAACGCCAGAATGTTCTTGTGGCGATGGGGATCCCACTTCTGATGTCGGAGATAGGGGTCTCTTCGCCGCTTCGCGAGTTGATTCATCCGTCATGATTTTCCTTTCACTTGGGTTTTCTTACTAAGATCCGCAGCGAGTCGCAATTGCTTTTGTTGCCCGTTCGAAGGTTTTCGAAAGAATGAAATCTAAACACTTTTCTTCTCTGGACAACTCTATCGTGTCCTTGTCATTCTGTAGTCACTTGTCATTCTTTTAACTCATTCTCTACTCCCCTTAATTTCACTCTCCTTGTTACAACAACAATTGCGCCACACTCGGCTAAGGTGAGTTCCAAACTAGCCACGCTTTTAAACCCTTAAGTGGTATTAGAAGGTCACACTTCTTTATCTTTACTCTTTATTTGTGTTGACAGGTTTCTCTCCGTTACATTGGTTTTATTTTACATTAAATATTAATATTATTAATTCTCTCGACATATTTATATTTATGTGCATTAGGGTGGGTCGCTTTGTGTGGGCTCAAAAAAGTGGTAAATCGTGGAGGGGAACGTAAACCTAGCAATGTTACCAAAGAAACAATGTCTCAAAACAATGACCCTCCGCACTTGCAATAGATATCAGATACCCGATATTCAGCTAAGTGTGCTGGGAGCACTCAGGTAGTGTGAAGGAGACAGAGGTATAAAAGTAGCAAAGCGTCTGTTTCGAACATTGCACACTTTATTTGATTATAACGGTTTAATGAATGGCCCGAATTGAACCTATTTTGGACACAGTTGGACATTGATAATCAAAACAAAATATCATTTAAATCATTAAAAAAAAAAATTCAAAAATGTGCTCAAGAATCGACATGCCAAATTCCTACTTTCTAGCTTTTTTAGTTTCCGAGATCTTAGCGTTCATCCGGACGGACAGACAGAAGCGGACATGTCTAGATCGACTCGTCTGGCGATCCTAATCAGGAATATATATAGTTTATAAGGTCGGAATAATACATTTCAGTAAAAATTTCTAGCATGAAAACTTTGTGGGCGTGGCAACCTAATTTAATTTTCGGATACTTGCTAATTTTTTCGCCAAATTGAAAAAAAAATCAAAAAGAAAACGCCAGTGTCTATGGCATCGACTATAAGATACCCGTTACCCAGCTAAAATGAGTGCGAGGGGGATGAAGATATGCTTGCAGCATATCTGCTTTTTTCACTAGGACACCTATAACGCCACCTTGCGCCACCTCCTCCATCCTAGCGTCACCAAGCCTAAAGCCCCAACTAGTGAAAGCCTCAACAATCAGTGAAACAATCTGTTTTCTGCATGTGGTGTTCGGTCTCAATTGACTTTGCAAAATATTGATTATTATTTGGCTATAACTTTAAAATGAATCGTCTGATTACAATAATGTCATAGCATGTATATGGGTATTGATAATAAGAATACACTCGCATTTAAAGTTTTTTAAAATGCTAACGATCGTTTTTAGGGGTTAGAGAAAGCGTGGCACATTGCTGAAATAAACTTGCGCTGCGTAATAATCTCAAGAATCTGCATGCCTAATCCAAACTTTCTAGCTGTTGTAGTTTCCGAGATCACAGCGTTTGTACGGAAGAACAGACAGACGGACATAGCTAGATCGACTTGGCTAGTGACTTAGCCTACCATTTTTTAATAGATTTACCATCAGCTTTGTCTAAAAATATGAGAAATATTTAAAAAAGTAGAAGAAATTTAAAATTGTTGTTTTCGGTGACTATTTAATTTAGTTGTAAAACTTATAAAGAAAGAGGGAGAACGCTATAGTCGAGTACTTCGACTATCATATACCCGTTACTCAGCTAAAGGGACCAAAGGGAAATGGAGATATGCAAGCAGTAAAGCGAGATTGAAATGCGCCACCTACCGGCGATAGATCGGCTTAAGCGTTATGGGCGTTAGAGTGGGCGTGCCAAATTTTTTTTGGATCAATCGATAGGTATTGACAAGACTAATACATTTCATTTATAATATTTTCTCTAGCGTGAAAATTGTGGGCACCACTGGTTTGTGGGCGTTAAAGTGGGCGTGGCATATTCTCGTAACAAACTTGTTAATCGATAGGTATTGATGGGGACAATTAAAATTTTTATTCTAGCATCAAAACTGTACTGCACGTACTTTTTGTGCGTTCTTTTTGCGGTCCCCGACTGAGAGCCCGTCTACTTTGCATCCGTTACACTTGGCTCTGCCGACGACGCTTGATGCTCTGCAGACGTCGCAGTCGACTTCGTGATGATTGGGTGCTTGTGCTCAATTGTGTAACTGCAGGGTTGTCCAATTTTATAAAAACTGTATTTATATTGAATTATTAAGCTTCGATGCAGCATGCTTCTGCAAGTAGTTATGTTGTAATAACGTGATTTATCCAAGATGGAAAAAAACAATGGAGGTATCCCGCAGCGCAGCCAAAGCAAGTTAATACGCTAGTTTTCAATTTAATGTAAGTTTTTTACTCAATCAAATGTTAAAAGCCGCATCTGTGGTGTAAACAGTGGAAGGAAGCTTTTCTGACCCTATAAGGTATATACATACATATGTATAATATTGATCAGGATCACTAGGCGAATAAAACTAGCCATGTTCGTCTGCCCGTCCGGAAACTATGTATAAAAGACCGAAAATTGGAATTAAATGTCCTCGATGGACCGCGATTCCTTAAGAATTCGCGTGACCATCGATGACCAACTTTTGAGTTTGAAGAACCATGGACCGCGATCTATGAAAAGGTCGTGATAGCAGACAAATTTTATCTAAATCTGTAAAGCATTAAATAATACACTATCTAATTCGTATGTTCTTTTTTATTTAATCCTTAACATTTTTCCTGTTCAATTTTTTTTTTTAATTTATGCCTAGTTAATTATTAATTATTAATAATTACATGAACATATTTGATGTATGTTTAAAAAAAAAAAAAATAAAAATTCAATACTTACTTACTTACTTACTTTGAAATTCGATTACAAGAAAACCATGGCAGACCGCGCCTTTATTTCTTTATGTAAATTCTTAAGAATTCGCGGTCCGTCGAGGATAGTTTTTTCGCGAATTGTGAGGGTGAGGACTATAATCTAGAGTATGACCACATTTTTTTTGGAAATGAAATTATTACTGATTTTTAAAAAATGTCATATATTTATTCACCCATGACAAATGTGACACGGTGAAGGAAATATTCTCTATTTTCATAGGGGACATCTCATTCTGATTTTCACGATTGATTTACCGTGTGGCGTGTCACGAGGTGACGGCCCATACGGAAAGTACGTATAAGGCACACGTGAAAACAGGCCAGACTTCGTAAAATTTGTATATGAACAGTCACGAGTAAAAAAGCAGACATCCCATACAAATGACTTTATGAAGTGCTACGCGTGCATCACTCGTGACAGCTGACACTTCACCTGTGATTCATCAGTTGATTCACGCGTTAAAGTTTACTGAAATGAAATAGTATCGTAAATACCTATCGATTGACCCAAAAAAAGTTTGCCACGCCTACTCTAACGCCTAAATCTGTCTACTGCCCACATAACCATATATTGAGATCGGAGGTAGGTGGCGCATTTCAATCTCGCTTTACTGCTTGCATATCTCCATTTCCCTTTGGTCCATTTAGCTGAGTAACGGGTATCCCATAGTCGAGGTACTCGTATATAGCGTCCTCCCTTTTTTTATTTTGTGTTACGTCCGTTACGTCCAGCTAGAGAACAAACTTTTGGCGGAAAAATTTTTCTGGCGCAGCGACATGTGAATGCCGTAAGATTTTAGAAGAATTATTGTACTTCGAAAAAAACAACTAATATTGTTTTATTTTTATATTTTTCAATCATAGTAAAATTAAGTTTATTAAATTTACCAATCATGTTATGTTTTGGAATTATACATTACTATATCAATGTAATTTTAATATTAACATTCTTAAAAAATTCATATTGTGTTTTTACTCAAGAAGTAAAAATGTTATAGCCCGATTAGTTTCGCTTTGGAAAGGGTATAGGAGCAGTGGCACGCGCCAACAGCGAAAATAAAACAAAAGAAATGAAGTAAAGGGGTGAGAAGACTTGGTGCATTCTGTTTGAGTTATTAAAAGAGAAGCAGGCTATTTGAATCGTGCGCAGAGAAACACATTGATTTTGTTAGTGATATTTTGAAAACAAAAGCCAGGTAAATGTTACATTAAGTTTAAGATGTTGTCCAATGACCTTAGTTTAACGTACGTAAATTTTTAAGCCTAGTGCTTACATCGACGAAAACCGCGAGCTAGCCATAGCAGTAGCTGAGAGGAAAACACGCGGCCATCGCTTTTCGTCGGATCTGTTTTTCAGCGCAGTACTCAGATGAGCTAAGGAAATACCAGAAAAAATACCTGATATAGCAAGTGAATTTCAATGAAATGGCCCAAAAAATAAGAAATTTAATCTTTGGCGGTGTTCGTGCAAAAACTGCGTGAAAACTAAAAATAAAAATAGGAAAGAAAACCCAAAAAACGACTGCAGGAGGTCAGTGCAGATGAAAAAAGACGCCTATTCCAAACTGTGGCATATTATTGTGGGACTTCACCGGTAGGAAGCACTACCACAACAGAGCAATCAGGGAAATATGCCAAGTTTGACTTTGCTCGCTATATGGACATCCCTCCGGGCGTATCCTCGCTTACTCCTATGGTTAGCTCGCCTATGGTTAGCTCGTTCGTTGATGTAAGTACTAGGCCTAGCCTAGAAAATTCTAGTTCCGTTAGCTGAAAGTGGCATGAAGAAATGTTTTGTGCCAATTAAAATCCCGTAAAGGGTTATACACAGCTCTAAAAGGTAAATATAAAAATATACAAGTAAAGCACATTTTTTAAACATATACCCTTACATTTTTTTAAGGCCCGATGGTCAAGGATTCAGAGGACCCGGACAAATGTTTAAGGAAGGCGAACTTATTTAAGCCAACTGCAAAGAAACAGGAACACACACTCCTCATCGCAAAAGGAGGCGATAGATGACGCAGGCACTACCATTGCCATGTCACACTCTAAAAGGCCGAAAAGCCAGCTCCACCGGTCCCACACAAACGTGCCCCGGCGGCTGGAGAGTGTTTTGGGTCCTCAGATCCCCCGAAAATCCCCTTGGAGCCCGGAACACCCCTGGAAATCCCTGCACGTGGCCATCGGGCTGCACTCTTGTGCACTAATTACGAAAACTCAGCACGTTTTGTCATCGCATGGCCCAGCTTTTGACCCGGCTGTCTGGCAGTTTGGCTGCTGCCTGTTGGCCGTTGGATGTTGCCTGTTGGCCGTTGGCTGTTTTGGCCTGCTCTGGCCTGGCCGCCTTGTTGCCCTGCTGCCTGAGTGGTTAAATGCTGTGCGGAGCTGTGCTGCAGTAATAGCAGCAACAAGGCAACATGCAACGCGACAGTTGCCTACACCCTGGGGAACTTCTCGAAACACGGCGAAAAAATCACTGAAAGTTCCCTGGGACATTGTAATGCTTTGATGTTGACTTCGAGTTTAACATTAAAAACAAACGAAAAACAAATCTTTTTAACAATAATTGTACGTTATTGGAAAACCTAAATAACACAATTTTATAAAAAAATACAATAAATATTAATTTAATATAAATATGTATGTATTTTATTTTATAAAAAAAAGTAAAAAAAAGTAAAAAGTAATACTCTAGTTTACGGTCCTCACCCCCAAAATTCGCGAAAAAATTATCCTCGACGGATTGCGAATTCTTAAGAACTTACATGAAGAAATAAAGGCGCGGTCTGCCATGGTTCTCTTGTAATCGAATTTCAAA